ACGGTGCAAATCTCATCCCAAAGTATTACTGGTGGTATGTCGTGAATAGCTTCCGGCACCCACTTTTGGCCATTCCAACGGAAGAAGCTGTGGTAGGTTTGTGCGTCGTGGCCCATTTCGCAGAGTTCTCTTTCCAAACGATGCGTTGGCGTTAGCACCTTTATCTTRGGAAAGAGTTCTAACACACGCGTCGTCTTACCGCTGCCTCCCGTACCGTAGAGGTAAGAGAAGCGTTGGTAGGAAATGGGGTCGGCAACGGAAGGCAAAGGCTCCTCAGTAGGCGTAATGGAACCGCGGGTGTGTTCTCCGTGATATTCTACGCGGCCTCTCCAAGCTTTTATCTCTTCATCTTTGACGCGCCATTGTCCACTTTCTGCGAGTTCGTCGTCGGTGTAGAATTCTCTCATCTTTTCCAACACGTGCGGCTTCACGTATAAGGAATCCGTGGCCACACGCGGCACGTCTTCTTTGTCGAACCGCAGCAGCATTGCAAGAAGGTTTACATGCGCATATGCGAGCATGCTGGCACGCAGATGGTAATACTGCGGTCTGTGGTCCTGGTAGTAGCATAAGGCATTCCATTCGTGTAGTTTATCGTCGACCATGTAATCCCATTTCTCCACAGATACCATCGTTCCTTTGTCATGCGCGCGTTTGATAAGGAAGCTTAGTTCACCGTCGTCCGTTATCAAACGACGCTGCATGTGTTTCTCGCCTTCTTTTGCGCCCTGGGTGAACTTTCCTATTACCACCCGCGCTGTGGGGTTATGCTCCGGCAGCCATTTGGTAAAGGCGCTGTGACAAAGTATGGCTTCGTGCGCCGTGTAGGTAAGCAGCTTACGCTCTTCTAAGAACTTTAACAGCGGCACGGGTATCCATCCTTTCTCCTGCAGGTGCTTTCCATACCACGCGTAAATTATCGGATGCAGGTTCTTTGCTAGGTCCCAGGTGGTTAACCTGACAAATCCCGTTGCTGGTGCGTCGTAGTGACCATCCAACGTAACGCGGAAGAACTGCGAGTCTGGATGTCCGTAACGGTCGTAATATTCCTTACAATCTCCTAGACCTTTGAAGCTTGCGGGATAACAATGTTTCATGTCCAGCGACACGTATTCGTCTTTATCGTACTCCATGTTCCACAGACCACCGTGACCGTGTTCTACACAAGCTTTAGCTATATCTTTGAACTCCTCCGGTGTGGATTTCCACCCGTT